GAGGAATAACCTATCAGCTGCTTTGTTTTCTTTTTTTTTTTTCCATGTCCCCCCCATGCCACAATTTCCACGTCTGACAAATTTGGTAAAAAGCTGTATCAGTAAATGGAGAAAACCAGGCTTGTCAATGTTCTGTGTGGGAATAAATAAAGGGCTAAAACCTCTTGAATATTACACTGAGGTAACACCTTTTCACCTGTATGACACATCACAGAGACCTTTCTGTCCAGGATTTTCTCAAGTGATTTTCTCACTACCATTAATGAGGGCAGTGACAGAAACAGGGACAAAATCCTTCAGACCGATCCTGAATGATGGTCTGGATAATGGATAAAGTGTGCTGTGTATGGGAATATGCCAGTTCCATCTGGGATTGCCAGTAGTTTGGTACTGCATGTCACGCCCACAGCCTGCAAGTGGATATAAGCTATCCCAAAGCCACATTTTCACTTGTGTGCTACTACATGACCTCTGCTCCTGGCCACATTCTTCCTGGTGCACACATTCTTGTCTTTAAGATCTCCTTTCTGCAATGTGCTCTGTGTTAGGACCCTATAAAAAGGTAAATATATTAAAATCATTATCACTCCCTAGTTGGTGACTGTTGTACTGACTGTAGAAATCTGGCCTTTCCTTTTTTTTAATCCTTTTAACCACATTGCAGCTCCCAGTTGACACAATAATTTACAACAATCACCGTTTCTGAAGTACCGCATTACAACATTCTCATGAAGGAGAGAAGGATGGGACCATCTTTCAGACTCTGCTAGGGCAGCTTCTCCACTGGTGATGCTGCCTTGGGCACTGAATGCTCTTGTCACTGTAGTACTCTTCCACTGGTTTTGAACTGGCCTAGAAAGCAGTTTGCCTTTTCCAGATGAAATTACTAGCTACTTTTCTAATACTCTTTTAACACTGGGCTGCAGAAAAATGGACACAAATTCCTGCCTACAGCACCTAACAATGGATATTTGACTGACTTTTAAAGAAGACATTTGTTTACTACTGTGACGTACAAGAACAACTTGTGAGTTCTTAAATGCTGCCACTGTAGAACCATTCTTCTTCAGATGCAGGTGGGACATTCTATTTTGGGTACTTCTTGTTTGTTGCCAGATTTTATCTAATTGTTTTTGTAATTTATATCTTCACCCCCAACCAAATAAGTTTTTATGATCTAAACACAGACCTTACATTTTTATTGTTTTTTTTTTCACAAGGTAGCGAATATGCATAAACTTCTGCAACCTACATGTCTTAATAGATGTTTACTTTTTTGTTCATTCAGTACCTACAATTTCTGTTTTACACTGCAGGCTGGTGCACAAATAGAGCAGTATGCTACAAACAGAAGCTATTTGGGTACACTGGGGTTGGCTTTTCTATATATACCCCCCAACATGCATATACTCTCACATTTGGATTCACTATTAACAGGCAATTTCAAACTAGAAATCAATGACATTTTGAATTTGCATTGTTGGCAGAAGAACTGATGGGCCCTTAAGTGTTGGTTGTGCATTATGTGAAAGAACCTGACTGCATAAGAGGTAAATTTGCAACATAAAACATACTCAGTTCTGCTGGGGCAGCACTATCAAGGCTTTTACCCAGTCTTTCAAAACAACAGATGATATAGCACATCTTTACATCTTTAACGACATCTCTCTCTTTTACTCTGCTGAGTATTTACTAATTCACACCAGTGTAGCCACTGTCATGATCCAGTACTGAATACCTGGCAAGATTTTAATGCTGCACTGTGATTTAAAGTTGGTAAGACCTCTTTAGAACCAAGAAAATTACCTAATTTCAGAAGGCTTTCTTTTCTAGTCTTATCTGGGAAAGAAATGAACTTCTGAAAGTTCTTCAGAAAATAAAGTATATGGCAGGAACTCAGAGCTAAGACAATGTACTTTGAACATTATATAGCTAATGTAATTTGTAGCTTTGTGGGTTTTGTGAGTGCTTAAGTTATGTTAAATAAAATAGATAAAATTATTCCTCATTGCCACTGTCAGCTATTTAACACAGTTTTTTTGTCAAAGTCTGTCCTTTTCATTTTCCCTTAGAGAAGCAAACAATGCAGCATTTTGAACCACTTTGGAAGTCCTGTAGTAACAGTTCTGTTGGAGCAGCGAAAGTCACTATAAATGGCTTTTCCAGAACTTTGTGGGAGCCAAACAATACCTGACAAGATGTATTTGCTTGTAATATTATGAATCCATGTATGCCTGTGCTGCATGCACAAGCGGCCTCTCTTCTCTCCCAGAAACAACTGAAGGCGTAGCAAATACCAGAGCACAGGTGTCTGTGGAGAGCTGGAGCAAGTCCATGGAAATCCCTGGATGCAGGGCTCTCGGCAGAAGTTAGGCAGGATGAACTTGAGCTTTAAGTTCCTGATCCTATATTCTTTCCAAACTCCAGGCACAGCTTTTCTGTGCAGAACCCTTCCCACAGTTGTGCCTGTAGTCACCTGCCTCAATGTTGCCTGGGCTCTCCTTAAGCATTCCTCCCTTCAGCCCATTACTGCTTCTCTAAGCTCACACGGTTTTGCTCTTTTTCCTTTTCTAAAACATTTTTCCTGTGTTTGACTAACTTTGGCCTTCTATAGCCTTTGAATTGTAAAAAAAAAAAAAACAAAAACTATTTTTTTCTTACCCCTTGTTGTGACTGTCCTGTTGTTCCTTTGCCTTTTTCTCTCTTCTGTACTTAATGAAACTTGTCTTCAAGAATCTGCATATCCTGCCCACCTCATACCTTACTGTTGTTCTGTGCATTCACTATACTTTTCTTCTCAGCAATCTTCCTGCTTCACCCTTTCTGCCATTATTCTGTGCCTTCCTTCAGGCCAAGCCTTATGCATGAACCAGCATCTAATTCTGGTTCTTCAAAACCCTGCCTTCATCAAATCTCTTTTCCCGATTCTTTTAACTGATTTCCAGTAACCTTCCAAACCTCCTCTCACCAAGCTATTGCTCCTTGCATAACTATCTTTCATTTAAGTTAATAAATTCTCCTCTCTCCAGTATATAAACAGTGAAGGCTTGTAAATGCCATAGAGCCTCACAAATGTATTAATAACTGAGGGGCTCTAATTCTAAGGCAGACCAGGGCTGCCTACATCTGACAGCAGTAAGAGAGAACTCTGAACATCAACAGAGGAAGCAAAGAATGAGTTAATACAGAGCAGAATTTCGGAAAAGACTGATGCTGAAAATCATTCCCAATAAAAGGAAAACCAGAAATTAATCTCCCATCTAGCTTCAATTATGAATTTTGGTTCAGAGGCAAGCTGTAAACCAGCTGTAAGCTCTGAACAAGCCCTCTAAGTGACAGTAAGATTCATTAAACATCAGGATGACAAGTCTCCTTTTTCTCCTTAGCACGGTCAGTGCGTATTTTTCATCCTCTTCTACTGCTCTGGATGTCTAGCAGAGGTTTGCTAAACTTCAGCTATACTTGTTGACCAATAAAGCCACAACTGCAAAACCTCCCTATGAAGGAAGCTTATAATGGAAGAAAGCAGCACTGAAGTTGGATGCATGACAGAAAATTAGTAATGTTTTCCTTAGCATAATTACATACACACCAAAGTTGTTGCCAGTACAGAAAATACAGCCTAAAGCTGTCGTGCTTTTAAGGTTTTGTAGCAGAAACTTGGGCCAAGGAGTGTACTGCTGAGGAAACTGAGCTACTGACCAATTCTGTGTGCTGCTTCAGAACGTGATGGCAGTGGGGAGATGACACAGTGGTATCTCCTTAAGAAAGTTTCCTCAGTTGCCTACATACGTATCATTACAAGCACTATTAAACATATTTCAGCACATTTAATGTATTTCACTGTACCTTATACTGTATACAATGTAGTCATGTAGCATTATCAGTAGGGCTACACAAGCACTGCCTTCAGCCAAAACCTGAGCCTCAACCCAAACTCACCTAACAGCAGATGCAGGTTTTAGATGAGCATCAAGGCTACCTGTTGCCAGTGGAGAAATCCAGTCATGTAACATTCATGTTAAATGTCACCTACCCGCCTTGACAAGATGGTGTGCCATGTGAGCTGGGACTTCCCAAAGTGTTCCCCATATCACCTATAGCAATACGCAGAAGCATCAGCTGGCCAGCATGAGGGAAACAAGCTGGCCAGGCTCCCTCCCTCTCCTACAGGCACTTCATGCAAAATGCTGCCAAGTCCTGCACGAGCTGCAGACACTGTAATTCTCTCCAATGCTGCCATTTTTCATTTAGATGATTTCCCCATTTGTAAACACGAAAACAAAGCCTGAGCATTTTCCTGCTGGGATGGTGGCATAAGGACTAGTCAGCAGTTACACATAGCTCTAAAAGGGGCAGTACCTGCTGTTAAAAGGACACTGTGCTCTAAGTTCCATGTGGTCAGCTCTGGAAGAAACACCAAAGCAATACTCATGAGACATTTAGCAGCTGCAGGACGTTTTGCACTCTCTCTTTGAAACAGTATGTAATTCAGATCAGTATTAATAATACCTGAAACACTCTATCCAATTAGGTTTGCATGTAATTAAAAGAAAATCCAATGGTTTAAAAATATATTTAGCATTGAAACATAGTAGAAAGTTTGCTGTGCGCCACTTAATCCCACACATGTTCCAGTGAGTGCAGCTGGATTCACCTTTTCCATTTCACTTTTCACACACTGCTTATAATCTGGTTCTCCAGGAATTTTAGTTCTCGGGGACAGGTTGCAAGTAAGAGGGAAGTAGTAGAAACTCTCACAAATGATAACTGTCAAAAGCTTAGGATTATTTCATTTTTTTTAGTCTCAGCACTGAGATGCCAAAATAGGAAGGATGGGTAAGCAGGTTTTAGTTGTCTGTGAAGTGAATTAGTACATTTTGCGATGAAAACCGGAGATTAGTAGCTGGATGCATGGTTTATGGCATTTGGTGGGTTGCCATATGCTGTGGGACACATCTTTTGAAGGAGATTTTAATCATCTCAAAAGACAATATGGCAACTGGCAGCCTTTTTCTTTATTGAAGCAAAGTCACAGCATTTTCATCACTATTCCCCTCCTGGGAAGGGAAGAGTTAAACAAAGGCCCCTGAAATTTACATTACTAACAAGTAGAAGGATTGAAGAAAGAGATTACAAGCATATTTCTCTAAAATAAATAATCTACAAAGAGTGCTTTTTCTTCTTAAAAGCAATCTAAAAATGTATAAATTCTACAGTACGGAGATCAAAAGATATTTTAACAACTTTCAGTATTTACAAACAATACAAAAACTGCGCACGCCATCAAATGATGCAAAATTCTCCTTAAAAATTAAAAGCTTCATTGCTACTAAGAACCAAAAACTCCAGCCAATATTTCAGTTTTAATTAATGGTCTTCTTTGCAATTGGAAAACCGTTACGTGTTTTTATTATCTGTAAAATATACAATAAAACTGAACCTCACTAAATTATTCAGGTTAAAAAAGAAGAGAAATACTGCAGGCAAATCAAAGAGGAAAGTAACCGTAACTTATTCTTTGGTAACCAAAAGTTAGCAAGTATCTGTATTTCAAGTGATGAAAAGTAATAAATCTTCCCATTTTGACCAATGGAAGACAGACTTCTGGCAAAACACAGCTCCCATTTTAGTTCTGAAAGACAGGCTCCACCTGCAGCTCTGTAGTGCAAGTTCTCAAAGTCAAATTTTCCTTTCTAATTCAGAAACGTCACCCTTCCAAACTCTAGCAGTACACTGCATAATTCCTCTCCCACCTTTCTGCTGTCTGCTCGCATCCTCCCCACACATCCAGTTGTTCCAGTTCTCTAAGGGAATACTCCAGTCAAGGAAGCAATTCACTTGGAAATGAGTGCTTCTCCAAGCGTGTGTGTGTGTGGCTGCATAGCAGCTAGTGGGGTGTTATAAAACTCAGCTCCCTTTTCCATGTTAACTACGTATTTAATTTTCCCTCAGGAAAAACCAAAAATAGAGGTACCCCTGGACCAATTCGTAACTTGGTGCACTAACTGCTTTAGCAGGACACGCTCCACTGAACACTGGGGGTATACATACCCCAGTAATAAGCCATGTAACACCGCAGCACCAACCCTACTCCCTTCTCATAGGTGAATGGGCCTCTTTGTGCCTCTCCCTGCTTAACAAATGCACTACGCTGCACCACTACAATGCTTTTGAAGCAAACATCCAGCTTGTACCACAGGAGCCCTCCCATTCCTCTTTTTCAGGCTTATTCCTAAATGTTGCTTGCGCAATTGCAGTCAAGAAAAAGAAAAACTTCACACCCCTACAGGTTCTGTGAAAACTGGCCCCCCCCTCCCCCCCGCCAAGAGGACTTCTAAGGCTTTACACTAAAAAACCAAAATTCAACTGTTAACCTTCTTTAAGCCACAGACCACTCATTCAACCCAAGTCCTCCCCACCCCAACCCAACCATGCAGAACTATCATTGCTTTAGCATTTAAACACACACATGCAGTTCATGGATTAAATGCTCAGCAAAGTAAACTTGTCCTGGTCTGGACTTTCTTCTGGAATCTAGTCCTCTGTCATTTTCTAGACTAATATCCAATGCCTTTTGTCACCACTGTCTTACAACTTTCATTCAGCTGAAGGGCTTAGATACTTCCTTGAAGTACCTGGTTCAGTCAGTAAGTCTAGATGGGTTGGATCCAAGGTCTCCTTGCAGCCTGCCTCCTCAGCATACGGGAAGTCATTCACATCCACTTCATCACTGTTAAACATATCAAGCTGTCTCTCTTGCTGCTCTTCCAAAGTCCGTCGGACCCTGCCCTCTGACTGTTCCACCACCTCCCCATCTCCTTCACTAATGACGGTCATGGGGCTGCTCTGGATGCGGTTGCGGACATTGTACTTGCTGCTGGCAGCAGAGGGGGGTGTCCGGGACCGGCCGTACCTAGTACCAGAGAAGGACATGCTCCTTGGCATCAGACCCTCACTCTTGGCCCACTCTTCCTGGGCCCGTTTGCTCTTGCTGGGTGAGCAGCTGGCAGGGCTGTCAGAAACGTCCGGGGACACATCTGTTCTTGTCCGGTGGAACCGCGGGTCCGTGTTCTTCAACATCTCTGCTGCGGACATGCGGGAGCTGGTGTCACAGCGGCTCCCTTTCTTCAGCAGCAGGGCTTTGAAGTTGTCATTGCTGGTGCTGCTCTTGCGAACGCTCCTCTGGATGGATCCGGCTTGTTTAAGGGTAGTTAAGGTGGGGGAAGCACCAGTGGGAGTTACGGGGGGCGACGGAGAATGGTTGCGGGTACGGTCGTCTTCTGAGTCTTTACGGCCAAGGACTTTCCTTTTGGATCTGAGTGGGGAAAATAGCAAAAAAAAAGAGGACCAAACAAAAAATTAAACTTTTTACCTCTCCTAATTTAACTCATCTTAAAGGGATGACAATGAATTAAGCTAAAGCAGAGAGAGGGATAAGGGAGAAGTAATCTAAATCTAAAGCATGAGTAAGAACACCACCAAAACTGTATAGGCATTAATGCAGGTATTACAGGTATAAGCTAAATTTTATTGTTCTTCTTCTGCAAATCTGGAACAATGAAACTACTAAAACTGGCAATATGATGTCCAAAACACTTCAGCAAGTTTAGTGAATCAGGTTTTCTGGAGTCAATGTTCAACTGCTAAGATTAATGCATTATAAAGATTATACACAGTGCCATTTATCTGTTAGTTTGGGGACCTGATTAAAAGTATGTCATCTACAGTATGTTTGGGGTTTTTTGTTTTCTTTTGGTCTACTATTTCATTTGATGCTCCTTGGAGAATTAGAAGTGCAGTGTAGTGCACTTGCTTTTAGAAAAGGATACTGCAGTGCACTGCTGCTGAAGTTAAGACGGAGTAAAGGGAGCTACAGGTGACTACTCTGGATTAAATAATTTAAAAACAAAAGTCTCCTCCTCAACCTAAATATTAACTGAATAGTGAAAATTGAGACTTCCAGCTTCTATTAAGATGCACAGACAAAATTCACAGTTCTGTTGGTGCTCTGTCATTGAAACTCTGCGACTAAATGAAGGCAAGACCAACTTCCTGACATGAAAGTGCTTTCCAAATGGAAGGATGCAGCTTTTATTAATTTCAAGTAAAGTGCAGGGATAACAAAACAAAATTAAAAAGCAGTTATGGAGGTGGGAATAAGTGGAAACTGGACTTCTATTGCCCATTTTCCCATTATTAGAAATGTTTTACATGCCTGGTGTCTGCAGCAAAGCTGCTTTGCTTTTTTGCAGGCTAAGCAAGAATTAATTCAAAAACATCGTATAAAGGCTAATTTTACATATGCTATTTTGGCCAAATTTTTAAAACAAGTCAGGAAACTTGTTACAAGATTAGCATGCTGTAATTTGGTATGAATTTTTATCAACCATGTGTTCAATACAGATCGTTCCACTCGTAAAACAGGTTTCTACTTAATGTGTTCTTTAGCTCTACTTTCTTAAAGGCCGTGTCAGCTGAGTAGGTGAGAGCAACAGACATTGCCATAAACTCTGCCAAGACTTTGGAGTGATGCTGTCTCTCTAGTGGTGAAGTTTATGCACAGATCACTTATGATGCCCCCCACAGGCAGCTGTAACAGCTGTTACTTTCTGCTGCTGCTGCCTCCACCTGCCTTTCTGGAAGAAGAATGTAATACCAGCATCCAGTCAGCCTGAGGATGAATGGACACCAGAAGATAGCACAGGGATAAAATTATGCCTTTAGTACTGGCAAACGTAAGAAGCTTGTCTGCATTTAACTGTGTGTCAGTACCGTAGGCAGCAAGTGGATTTGGTGCTTGGATGCTCTGTGCATCTATGTGAACATGGGCGTGCATTAGTTACAGGGAAAAGACTTTCCCTTCATTAGGGTTTTGGCTGCCTATGGGTATCTTTAAACACTGCAATGCTGGGGTTGTACTGCTGCCAAAACCCAAATGAAATTCCAAATATGCAGAAAGCAAAATTCAGTTGCAAAGATCTTCAGGGCAAGACTATTATCCTGGTTTGATTCTGAATTGCTAGACTGAGAATGCAGTGTAGAGTATTCCATGCTTTTCTCAGCATGTATGAATTATGTCAAAAACTTAAAATTAAGAACCAGATTTGGTTTTGGTGGCTTTTCAGACTGAGATAGGGTACATATTCAAAGAAAACTGACTTAAACTTAGATTGTTCTTCCTGTCCTTAACACATGTACCACTAAATTTTTCGTCTTACTCCAAAGCTCATATTCAGGAGTTATCAATCCCCAAAATAACACCTTTTACAAATTGTGTGGGGGGGGGGGGGGGGAACAAGCCATTTTTAATTAATTAACAACCAAGGAAGATAGTAGTTCAAGTCTAAAGCCAGCAAAAGCAAGGTCTTAATAACAAATGTGTGAAGCAGTTCTAACTATGTCACATCCAGTTCCATTGTCCATTTCCCCATAAACTCACGAATTACATGTATGTGCATACACACAGAGATCCACTCCCTATCTGCATACAGAATGGAGAAGGGCTAGTGGCCAGAATACTTCATTCTAAAAACAGATTTGTCGCAGTCCTGCTAAGTACCATGCAACACAAATGCAACAGACCATTTTTAGAACAGCTCCCACAAGCCAAGTCTTAAGGAGTAACCATGAGTTGTAAAAAGGCAGTATCATATGTATGGAATTTTCTTTAACACCTGACACAGAATAGTTTCAAAGATGAAAAGAATAGCATTTGCATCCCAAGTGATGCAGTCTCTCAGCCACGTTCTCACAACAGGCTTTCTCCATCCCTCAGTACTCCTGATGCAGAACTCATGCACAGCTTCACAAACTGATCAAACCTAAATAAACCTATACAGATGCTGCCAGGTGTTCTCTACGACCAGATAAAGAGGTGGCCCCTGTATCTTTTGAAGTTAAAGACAAAGCCACAAGATGGCACTATCACTACATCGATTCTAGTCTAAAAGCAAAAGCAAGCTCAGTAGTTCAGAGCGGTAATGGTCTTCTGTGTGTACTGTTTAAATGGTGCACACGTTTCATTTTGTGGTTTTAAGCCTTTTTTTTCTCTTTTTTTTTTTTTTTTTTTGCTTAGAATCTCAGGTGAACAGCACAAAAATCTAGTTGCCTATTGAAAGTGATTTTGTTTTTAAGGGAAATGAATAATGTCATTGATAATAGAGCCAGTACTGTACATTCATTCATGAACCAGTTTGACACAAGACACCCGACCTCAGGCTGGATTATGGCAAACTATAATCCAGCATTTGCCATATGTTTTGCCATATGACTGACATGTTGTGTTACTTGCCAGTTTCAGCCACGCTTGCCATGAAGCATTAGCGTTGAGCCTCTGTCCCAAACTGCACCATATAAGCAGCGAAGAGAGTAAAAAGAGATGGAGAAGAACAAGAATGAAAACAAAAAGATACACAGAAAAAGCAACAGTAGAGTTAATATGGCAGATTGAGAACAGTACAATAAATACTAGACGTAACTGATATTTTAAGGGACAGGATATTTATAATACAATTTACATTGATTTCATCTGCTAGCTTTTAGGTCAGAATTGATTAAAATATTATTTGTAGAACAATAAAACACTTTTTTTTTATCTTTTTCATATATCACCTTACTAGAAACCTGATAAATGTGTGCTTTCTGTTACAGCAATGACTGTTGTAATTGGGTGTTTTAGTAAATGTTAAATTGATTTCTGACAGAACTACAGGACCTGACTGTGGGAAGAGCAATTTCTGCAGTACCTGTGAATGGCTGCAAAAAGATCTTCGGTAGTCCTTGGTCTCGCTGGTGTTGCCACTCCATCTGCCTCTTCCCCATAACTATTGCTTGGCAGGAATGAACTATGCACTGTATCCGATTCGAACACCTCCACTATACAGAGAATGAGCATACTGTCAGTCCATCGTGGGAACTCAACAGGCATACAGTCCTGAAACCTGCTCGCACTGCCTCTGATCAAGGGAGTGCACTGCTGTCATGCTGTGATTTCTGAACAACACTTGCTAAGGAAACTGCAGTGCACAAAATGCCTGTGCTTGCTCACACACATAGACAGAGAACAACAGTGAAAGAAAACGTGTATGGCTTTCACTAACAAAAAATCAAAATTAACAAAGCTAACCACATTTTCATAGCATGAAATCTCAGCACAATTAGATAAAGCATCATTTTCTTTCCATGTCTGCAATAATGAGAAGTCAGAAATTGTAAGAAATCTCATAAAGTATTAATTGGGTCCCTGCAACTTTCTTTAGGCTTATAGTTGTAATTATTGCAAGGGGTTATTTTCTCTACAGAAGCCCACCTTAATGCTAGGATTGATATTCTCACTCCCCAGCTTCTTTAAAATACTGCTGCATCTGAAAAAAAGGCAAAGGAAAGAGACTCACCAGTTTCGTTCTCTTGAGATAGGTGCCCGTCAGTGTTACTGCCGCTGTCTTGGCTGCTGCCTGAACTGCTTCCTTCTTCAAAAGCAGACTGCTCCTCCTGCCTGGGTTCTTCTTGAACTGGTGATGCAGCAGGCTGTACCACAAAGGCATTAGCTCCCACTGTCTCTGAGAAGGTGAATCCAGCAGCTCCTCCCTCAGGAACCAGGCTGCCAGAGTCCATCTCGCTAGAACTGAGTCCATCTGTAAGACAATTTCTCGCCTCCTCGCAGTGTGCAAGCACAGCGTCTCTCTTAGTTGGGCTTGATGTGCTTCTGACAGTATCACTCACTTCAGCTTTTTTCTCCACTGTAAGATCTAACTGTGGAGGTGGTACAACAAGGAACAGTTTGGGTTTCTTTGAAATAGGAGGTGGTTTCTTGCTTGGCAGTATGACCTGAGTCTTGTCGGGAGATGCTGGTGACCCCTGAAGTGACATGCCAGAATGGAGGTCTTCACTCTGCACTGAAGGCTCAGGTATGTCTTCACCAGTTGTCCCCGGTGCATCAGCTTCAAAAGACTTGTTTAGACCCATGGCACTCGTAGGCTTTTCATCCCTGTCAAGTGCAGGTACATTATCGGACAGAACGACAGGAGAACCCCGAGCCAGTGTTTGAACTGAGTTTTTAAATGAAGTGCCTTGAGTTTTCATTTCCTCTTCACCTAAGCTGCTGCTGAGCCTTAGTGAGAGAGATGGCTTTAGGGAAGACTGAGATGATGAGCTTACAGCACCCTTTTCCTGAGAGGCAGTTTCAGAAGCAGATTCAGGTGATGGTTCACCTTCGGTTGCTTTTTTCACAGATCTCAGCTGCACCATTTGCAATGCTTTGGTAGTTACTAAGGGCATCACAGGTCTCGATGGATCTTGCTTGTTGAGTGGCTGTTTCACTGGACTGTAGCAAGACTCTTCCTGGTTACGTTTCTTAAAAGAATACTGTGGGCATATTGTTGCACCTTTTGTTAGTTTGGGATCAAGAGGTGGTGCTGGTGGCGGGACAGCTAAGGGGAAAGTGGAAGGAGGAGGACAAGGGGAAGAGAATGAACTGATGGAGGCTTCTTGTGGAAACCATGGGACAGTCTGGGCGAAGGAAGAATTTGCATTAGCTTCTGGTGGAGGAGGGGGAAACGTGGGAGAGGCTGGCAGTGGTGACAGATCCATGACTTCTGCTGGAGGAGGAGGAGGCGGAGGAGAAACTTCAGGGCAATGTGGAGGAGGTGTTGAAAGAAAAGGTGGCAGAAGGGGAGCACCAGAATCCGGAGCAGAGCTCAGGGTGGAGTCCAGTTTCTTCACACTCACGCTGCCTTCAGTAGATGTATTTGAAGAAAGAGAAGTGGAAGAGGAAGACATGGAGAGCGAAGACAGAAGAGAGGATTTCCTTTCAGGCACTTTAGGCTTCAGCTTGGATTTTCCATTTCCTGATGATGCAGATTTTAAAATTACAGGCACTGGAGTAAGTGCAGTGGGTGTATTGGACTGGCTGGAGTACCCACTTGATGGCGAAGTGACTCGGTGGGATTTCTCCGGAGAAGTGCTCTTTGGTTTGGCCAGTCCACTGGGCACTTGTGGCACAGAAGCCCTTGAGCCATCACTGAAGTGGCTGATGCTGTAATCACTGAGAGCAGATGATGTACTGACAGAATGGGTCACTGGGGATTTTACCTGATCATCTGCCACAGCTGCATAGTCGCTGTAGTAACCCCACTGGTCTGCATACTCTGACTTGATGCTACTTGTTTCACTCTGAGAGGGAGTGACTGTGCAGATGGAGTAGAGGTTTGGAGCAGTGGTGGATATCATGCTGCTGCTTGCGCTGACTGAGCTTTGGCTGCGGGAGCGCAACACCCAGGGATCCTCATAATCACTGCAGGGACTCTGGGAAGGGGAGCTGCCATTTTTGCATTTGAGATTCAACTGCAGAGAATGCTGAAGGGTGGCAATGAGGGTTTCATCAAGTACCTGTCCATTTGACTGGGCTTTTTTCTTGGGCATCCTTCTGAGTGAGTCTGTTCTGGATGGTGGCAAAGGCGGCTTCTTTGCCTTTTTCAGAGAGATGTTTCTTACAAGGGATTTTTCACCTTGGCCTGACTGATCATCCTGATGTTTCTTCTCCTTTCCTTCAAAGACATTTATCACACTGTCTCTGGAGTTCCCAAAACCATTAGTACTATCACAAGACACATCCGACTTCAGTCCAGAGTCCATATGCGCAGAACCATAATAACCATCATGGTCCACAGAGTACAGAGAAGTAGAATCATCTCTGACAGAAGTCCTCTCCAGGCTGCTGCTGCTCATGTTGCTACCAGGAGTGGCACAACCCGATGTGGTACAAACCACCTTGTGTGAAGGAGTCTCACTGTTTTCTGCAGACTTGTACAGCCAATGCTCTGTGCTGTTCACTGCCGCTTGTGCTCGCTCTCCTGAACAGCTAGAATCACTCCTACCGTCACTGTCCTGGGAAGGGTTTGGTAAAGTGAGATTGTTCCTACAGCTGTAGCCCATGCTCTGAGACGCAGCCTCTGCATTTCCAGGAGTGCTAAGAGAGACAGCAGAGTCACCAAGAGAAAGCATCATGACAGCATTAGATGGGATGGTATCTGACGTCTGTGAGTGACGGGTGGAGCTACTCTCACTCCAGTTACCGCTTGAAGAATGGTGATCTTCTTTCCCACTTACTGCACTGTTGGCAACAGGATTGTCTCTTGGCTTTGGGTAGGAAGTGGAGCTGGTAATTTTATTGTCCAATGATCCAACACTCTGGGCAGCATGAATAACTATAACTTCTGAAGAGGATGACAATGTTGCATTGGGTATGATGCTCGTTGAGTATGTGGCATGAGGAGAGACCACACATGCTGGGCTTGAAGACTTTTCACTATCATAGCTTCTCACCTCTTGAGACTTTGGCCTCGATAGGGTCCCTGTCGTGGAATTATTCCTCAGATGCACAACACTATCATCCACTTGCAATTTGCTTATCTGGTAGGGTAAAGAGCCAGCAATGTCTTCTGTCTGCCTAGAGAAGCTCTGTGTCTGCTCTAGGGACTGCAGAGACACTCTTGCACCAGCCCGAGGCAAGCTGTGAAAACCTATGTCACTATTTTGCCGAGAAGCAAATATAACTGCAGCAGAATCACTCATCACTGACATGTTTCCAGATGAGCTGGAGAACTGAGACATCTGGGCTGCAATGCCTTGTCCTTTCTGCGCTCGTATTCTTCTCATTGAAGGGGGCACAACTTTAACTTCCTCCGTCTGGCAGCTGGTGTCCTTAGTTTCAGAGCGCTGCATAGCAGAGCGATAGCTCTCTAGTCTCCCTAGCGTGGAACAGTGATCTGGGACATACATCGAATGCCCTCGGAAATCACTTTGGCCAGTGCCAACTGCTGGAGTCAAAATAAAACAATTACTTCTTGAAGCACAAATTCACATTTATCTTGTTACCCATTTAAAACCAAAGAACCCCAGCAACCCGCCTGACTGATCCCCATGCTGTTGCAGGTTATGCCTTCTGAAAAAAGAATCTGCAACAATGGATTTTGAACAGGCATCCCGTGTTTTCTGCATTTCTCTTCCCTTTTCTTTATTACCAGGAATCTTTGGCTTACAGATTTACCTGCATTCCTGCCACACATTTGAAACATGAAATCCTCTGTTTATGACATGGTAATAATTTCCATAGTAATCAGTTATGTCAGAAACCAAGTAGTACTGTTTTACTTCCAGTAGGCAAAGGAGCAGGCACAGACAAAGCCTGAGAAATTTGAAATGTGTTTCCATGCTAATGCCTTGTGCAATAAAGAAAAGAGGAAGGAAATCTGAAGACTAATATGAATAATCAGATCTGCTTTTTTAAAGCATTACACTTCAGAAAACAATTTCATGGGGTAAGGATAGCTCTCCAAGCCTTGCTGTTCATCTGAAAGGAGGCTAACACATTGAAACATGCATTGTTTGACCACAAATAATATATGTGCTCTAACAGCATTTATAAAAAGACATTACCCAGCACTGCAAAGAAAAAAAATAAATAACATTTCGCCATACAACTACTTTGTATTTTTCATTTAGAAAAAACTCCTAAGAAAAGGGCAAAAGAAACAGTTAGTACTGATGGTCGTCTCATCCTCAGCATGTCAGCAAATAAAAAATAACTGTACTTTTAAAAAAGAAGTGATAAACATATATTGGCATAAAAAAATGTCAACTTTGAGGATAATGGGAAAACAGGTTTAGTTCAAAATACAATTAGCACTGAGTCAGTAGAAGGGACTCCAGGGTTCCTTTAAATTTATGGTTTTTTTGGTAGCTGCCTTTTAAAATCACAAACCAGAGCACTGCTTTAAAATTAGTCTGTGTAAGGCTGTTGCTTTTCAAATCAGTTGCATTACTGTATAAATAGCAGACACAAACGGCAGGCGTGCTGCTGGAGATGCTTGTAAGGATGCTGCATATGTCACTGCGGGGGAAAATTGGTTATTTCAAGTCTCTGCCTTAGCTAGTCTTACAGCAGCAGTGAAGTAACAAGCACGCCTGATAGGACTGTTCCTCTTTCATATTTACTATATGAAACTGGATCAGGTATTCTTAGCATGTAGCTTTAACCACCACTTAAAGTATATTTAATTATCCTTATTCTTGGCAGGCAAAAGAGGGGTTTTAGAACAAAAGAGGGCTCTGAAAAGGCTACAGTGAAAGCAGCACACACAGAAAGATTGTTTACTTCTTTTCCCCAGGCACATAAGTAGTCTTTTAGCAGCTTGAAACCTATTTAGTTTGCTTTGTATAGATTCTCTCGCTCTCATGAAAATGTAGCCTCTTTCTGCTTCTGGTAGAGGTTTGCAGCAAAGCTAGGTACTCAGATGCTGGCAAACGTCTTGGATAATCTAATATGAGATACTGTCAGAACAGATGGACTACTGCAGCCAACCAAGAGAGGTATTTGCATATTCTGTATACAGTTATTAAGAGCAGTACAGTGATAAAAATAAATCAGCTTTGCTTTCCGTGTGTATTTTTTTGGTATAGAATCAGTGTGTGCACCTCTGGTTAAGAGAGAGATAAACATCAGAGCAGACATCACAAATGTCTGTGGAACTGTGACATTGCTGATGACAATTATTAGCCAATTAAAAATATCCAGTAATAAAAATCTGTGTACTAAATAACCAGAGATAGGGTATTTTCTTCTTCTACCACTGTGAGATACACACATGCATACAAATACATCCACCCACACACAGAGACAGAAGGATGGGGCTGGTGGAGACTGAAGCTGTCAGCGTTACACTACCACTGTCACATACTGACCTGTGGCTGAGAGCACCTCATTTCAGTATGTTTGTATTCACAAAGGAAGCTAAATGCACTCTGTTTCACAAGCAGTGTAACAGGGATGGATGGGTTATGCTTGCTTACAGCGTTACTGCTCGGGAAGATAAATGGCAAAGTGGAACACCACTGGACTTGCTAACCAACCTCTTCCTCCTTCCAAAACTAGGAGTGTTAGAATGCATTACTGGGACATGCTGTTTATGGCAAATGCACAACCATGTCCAAGATACCAAATTAAACCTTGGCACTCTATCTGTGCCACTAAATAAAAGAGGCCAACTACTTTTTGTAGAAATGCAGCGTATTCTGAAATCACCTCATCTTTGCTTTTGGCTTCATATGTATGCACAACCTCATGCAAAGCTCTGAGAGTTTACTTCTCCTTTATAATACAGCAATTGCTCTTTTTACATACTTGAAGAGAGACAACAGAAATCTGCAGGGAAAATGGTCCAAAAAAACTCAGCTGAAGTTTGTTGACTCAAGTATTCTCTTAAAATGTTGAGGGGTTTAAGATTTTGATGGAATTCAGGAGGGTATTGAGGAATATTTTGTTTGCAATTTATAAATGAACTGTAAAACCCTTACTCACTTCCAGCATAACACTGAAAAGCAAGGGTTTTCAAAAATCCTTAAAATTAAGCCACCTGTCTTGGTACTGCAGCTAGAAGACGCACAATCCAATTCTAAGGGACAGCTCAAACCTTTAATTGACAATGACACTGAAAGTGCTACATTTCTCAGAAAATCCCTACTTAAATAAAGAGCAGTCAGAAGTTAAAAGATTTCTGCAACACCAAAATTTTGGAACTGAATCAGTGCTTTTAAAGACTGTCATCCACAAGTCCATCTAGCTGCAGGGGTGATGTCCGAGCAGACAGCAGCACAAAATAGAGCAGAACATGACATCAGAGTGTCCTGTTACAGATGCTGAATGTTATGATGCCAGAAGTGGCTGCAATTTGGTAATATGATAAATGTGGCTGAAATTAATTAATAATCATCTTGTCTGCATTTTATATTATAAGGTGTCCAGCAGCCAGTGCTACACCCACCACAGGAGACCTGTATCTATATTCCTTCTTACTCTTTGCTATGCTGGAGAGATCTCTGAGGCAAATGCTCTTCCCTAATGCACATGTTCAATGTAGACTACAGCAGCAAATAACAAACACCCACTATCTGAAAAAGCAAAATATGACATATTTTAACAAATCTTGCATGGAAGCACAAAGAGGTTCAAATGCACACCTTAGCTCCAAGCACTTGATCCAAGATAGGCACATACAGGTTACACCAGTTTTCCCTGGCTCTTCTAGTTACTGGTGTTGTTCATTAGAGCTGACAGGGATTGAGACTGAAGGCACATCTGATGGAAATGGAAGGTGTCTGCATGCAGGGCCAAGTACTAGCTCCTAGAATATCCGTGACTGATCTGGTGGTACCAGCAGCTTGCTGCTGAGAATCACCAGAAAGGTACTCTGCATTGAAATTAGTGTACAGAATGAGGATCTGAGAGGATATAAAGTGTGTGTGTGTTGGTATCACAAAGAACATGCTTGTTTCAACTAGTATATAGAAGTAATCTTTCTTCCCAAACTTCTTCTGTCTAACCATTCCTACCAGAAGCACTCCTTCTCTTGTGCCACAGGCACATTCCTAAGATCTGTTGCTTTCATCTTCTCGTCCAGCCCCACCTAGCAATCCTCTTCCAAACCTGGTGACCTGGCCAAGTCACTGTGCAGGCACCAGAACTTCCAGTGTTGCAAAAGAAATTGCTTATCTATTTTACCCTAGTACTCACATAACAAATGATTTTTAATAGACACTCAACAAGAAACAGACAAGTACATCAGTCATACAGTAATTTTGGGGAATTTCCACTGTGCTCCATGAAGCATCTCTACAATCTCTCTGAGGGGAGAAAAGTACTGCAGAGAATCCTGTGATACTTTTCAGCACTGCCAGCTAAAAAATATCCTGATTTGTTGCATATACCCCTATCACCGTGAAAGGGGGAATTTTGATGGAAACATAAGGAATTTCTTGATTCTGTTCATTTAACTAAAGAGCCTCTCGTAAAGATTATATTCCTGGCATTTCTGTCTTTCATCCCCCATTAAGAAAAAGCAGACAATACATACTCCAGATGTATCTCTAGATGAATAATGCTGGAAATGTACAATGTTGAGAAACTACAGCTATAAAACCAGTATTATTTAAAATGCACAATTAGTTGTGAAATTCAGAGATGCATAACTCTCCAGATACTGTTAAAGTTGCAACTTGAAGCAGGTACAGAATTACTTTGCTTGAACACCTGGGTATTTGCGTTGTATTTCTATAGATAATGGGGATACCACTGGATATCCAGGATGCTTTTTAATTGTGGGACCTGAAACTTGAATGACTGCTAGTGCTGAAGGGACTAATTGGAAAATAGTATCAAATAAGAGTAGTCTTCAACAGAATAGCTTAGTTCCCAAAAATAAGAAGGACTTACATGCCCTCATGTTGCTGAGATGGAATTGTTTCTTCTAGGACATTTGAAAGGAGAAACTTCAGCAGTCCCAAATGATCCCAGGGACACTGCCAGCTGTTGGGACAGAGCCAGTGGGGGGCTAAGCTGTGCCACAAGAAAGCAAATGAAGGACTGCCAGGTCAGGTGACAGTCATATCCATTCTAATGACTGATGGGAGGTCCTATAGGTGACAACTCATTATGAGCTACTGAAAATGGGAAGCAAGGGAAATGGGCTGAAGAAAAGTGTATGAGATCAGTCTGAACCCTTTGGTAAGGAAGAAAAGAAAAATGCAGATGGCGGTGGTGATGGTGGAAATCACAGAGCTGTAAAGCCCCTGAACTGCACCTTAGAGTGGGGGGGGGGAAGCACTGAAATTATCCAAAGAAAATACATGCATAGAACTGTTAGACACTTTTTTGAAAAGCAAGAATGGACAGAAACTTCTGTTTGATTAAAGTGCCTGGGCCAAGAAGAAGAAATAAAATGGTGCAAAACTTTAAGATGGTTTCCTTTCTCCTGCTTTTGTTTATTTGGAAGAGGAACTGTGGTGGACCTGTTCCTCCTGTAAAACAGGGAGGGAGTCTGAGACATCAGAAGCTGTCCATCGGTGTCTGGGACCGCACCGGTCCAGAGCTTGGGAGAAATACTCACAACCAGGTAACGCAGTACCTTCACAAAAAGAAAGTATCATCCAAACCCTAGAGCACTGACACAGAAAAGGGAACATGGAAACATGATGAAAAAAAAGTATTTTGCTGCCTCTATTTCATGTGTGGTGCTGGAAGGTGTGAAAGGAAGCTGAAGATAACCAAGAGCCAAGAAACAAGCAAGGCCTGAGACAGGTTCTCCCAGAGAACTGATCATCCCTACTAAACTTCTGCTTGGAAATCATCTTGTCTGAGGGAAGAATAACACTTTGCGTGTCAGGTACCATCTGAAGAAGACAGCTAGAGGCGACTGATAAATGGCAACACAGAGCAGAAAAACTGAGAGCACAGAAACCTGAAGTTTCATCGTCTGAAAGTTTCTTGACCTTTCTGCAGTTTTGATCCAACACTGACTCAAATATATATACACATGTACATACATATATATATATGTATTTATGTTCTGTGAGACAATGAAAGTAATCAAGAGGTATGCAAACCTATTTTTTTTCACTGCTGTTTTTTGCAGAGAGGAATGCTTTGCCTTCTCTGCTTAGTTTGGTGTCACTGCTAAATAATACTAAGAGGGTTCTACTGTTAAAAAAAAACCGATCAGAAAACAACTGGTGTCGCTGAACTAGTAGGCATCTCATACTCTTATTGTGTCTCAGAATCCCAGCTACCACAACGCATTTTATTGACAGAGCACTTTTTTACATGGGAGTTTCCAGTCTATGCAGAGAGAACGGTTCATCGCTGGAAGACACCTGTGAAAATACAGCAGTATTACAACACTCAAAAGTAGGAATGTTTAAAGATAATTTCAGCACATGCCTCATGGGTGCAGTTAATGATTTCTTTCAGTACATTTGGCTAAATTCGACGAGGGTACCAGAGCCATTGAGCTCAGGCCAGCAATCAGCACAGGCTTTCCCTTCTATTTGGTCTTTTTTGTTCCAAAGGAACCAAAGCAGCCAGGGGAGAACCCCAGCAGCTTGGCCTGGCAGAAGCTCTTCCAAGCTCTCTCACAAGAAAAGAAAACAGTTCAAGCTTGGTTGAAGCTTTGAGGTTCTCTCAAGTTTCTGCTTCTTTCTGAAGGATAAACAAGATGTAACAAGAATCTGCTGTACATGTTGGTTATTTAGCCTGTGCACAGCAAATCTGGTGTACCAAGGGATTTTAATCTTTGTATAAATATTATAGCCATTCACAGCAATGCTTTACGGGAGAAACAAAGAGATTTATTCAGCTGAAATCACAGGGAGAATGTCAATACGCACAATGCAATTGCTTGATTTGGAATTTAGTCCAGATCCTTGTTCCGACCAAATGAACTGTGGAATGTTTTAAAACAACTCATTGTTTGTTTTGGGACAGCGTAAGAGAAATAGGGAACGGATGGCTACAGAAATATTTGGGGAGTGATAGGGAGAAAAGGTAGAAAGAGCACTGAACAAGGATGGGGAAGACTTAATTTATTCCCAGCCTTGCCAGGAGCCTGGTGGGTGACTCCAGCTAAGTCACTTCACTGCAGTATGCCTGGTTTCCCCATCTATAAAATGAAGACACTGATAACTCTTCTCAAGTGCACTTTGTTTCTAGTGATGGAAAGCAATACGCTAAAAGGATGGATACTGCCATCAGAGAGTTATCCTGGCATACATTTTGCTGTCCGGACAATATGCAATCACCATGGAATCAACATGAAGCTTCTAACACAACTTCCACTGTAGGACAGATGGCTGAAGCCCCATGGGCCTGCTGGTTGTGGGCCAGGAAACTGTCCAGAGAGAACTCTTTACAGTGAGCTACTGCCAGCCGTACAATTTCTGCAACTTAAAAATAGAAGCCAAGGAAAACCTTCAAGCAGTGCAACATTAAGTGTGCTCAGCACAGAAATGAAAGACCAAAATCAAGACCATAAAACCTGTCACCCTTAGCAAAGAGGTTGGCAAAAGTCACAAACTTTTTTTTAAGTGCTTAATTGAGGAATTCTTTTTAAGATAGATGTCATGTGCATTCTGAGTTTACTCCACTGGGTAAACTACAGTTGATATTTTCAAGCATGAAATAGTTACAAACAAGCACGAAGTTTTGGAAATGCTGCCGGCAGGAAGCATTCTCCACATATCCACCCAAGTACTGTTGTCACCCATTTCAAAATCCAAGTGCCCTGAAAGACTGGTGGGAAACCCACCAGGTGACAAAGAGTAGCGTGGCAGAAAATGTTGTCTTCTCCACTCCCTGCCCTTGAGGTAGGTCCTACATGTGTCAAAGACAACCCCTACCAAAAAGTATGACCTTGGCGTGTGTATCATTTTCAGAATACCATACTGGACTCAAGACCACTGTAACAACCATGGAAATGAACAGTTGAAGCAATGCCCTGTTACCAGTTTTGCATTTAAGCTGCACAAGCATTTTCAAGGAGCACAAGTCATTTCATCTCAGCTGTAGATGAGAGAAAAGCGATTTAGTTTAAGATAGAAGAGGATGTAAAAAGAATCCATCCTGAATGGATGAGAGGATGACGGTTATCTGCTATTACACAAACCATCTGTAGACATGGTATCTGAGCGATTAGGCTCAAAGACTTATAACAGGAGAAGGGAATTTTTGGTTAAGAATAACTCAGTATTAAGTTTTATGTAGCTTTGTTTCCAGATTTGATGTTTCTTTGGTTACAAATCTATTTTATTTAACTACAGCAGGCACAAAAGAGCCTCCATCCTACAAGAAGAGACAAAGATGCCTGACACCTCTGGACAATTCTCAGAGCAATAGTTACAAATAAATTCATTAAATGAGATACAAAAGTAAGGAAATTTAAAGCTGCCTAAGTTTAGCTGTCCTAACAGGGGTTAGGGCAACAAAATTATACATGCTAAAGAAGTACTGTTCCACTCACAAACTGTTCTTCATGTACTTGCTTATTTCTTGGCTTTCTTTGCACATGGCCCTCTAGCTCATTTCAAACCCATCCAGACAAGCTACATCTTTTTGATTCTGTTTCTGAAAAATCTCAACAAAGAACCAAGTATTGAAAAACATAAAAGAGACGCAAAAATGCAAGATAATAACACTTACTGAAATCGCCTATATATGAGACGATTCCATATGCAAAGAGCCTAAAATTATGTTCTGCCAGACTGTTTTAAAAGACATTCTTCATTTACTAGAAAAAAGAAAAAGGAGGGGGAATGTCATTTTATCTGTGGAGTTATCATTTGGGGAAAACTGAAACATCACTTTAAAAAATAAGTAAGAATGACCAGATTCACATCAGGAATTTCTGCAGAAAGAGTCTGAAAGGTCTGCCAAAATCCAGACTGCTTCATCAGCTTTGAGTATCACGTATGCTACTAACTGTGAAATAGAACAGCCTGAGGTAGTGTAAATGGGACCGGGTAGGCATTCTTACTTTGGAATACATGCAATAACTAATGAACCCATGTAAATTACACCCAACCAAATAACACTGGATACTTAAGGGTCACCAATTACATCTAAACTGAACTGGAAAATACATGGGTTTTCAGAGTTGATGCAACTCTCAGCAGACTGGGGAAGGCATCTATAAATTCTTTTACTCCACTGAGTAATTATTTGCAAGCCAAAATGCCTGTCCACTTCAGTTTTGCTTCAGTGAACATCCTGGAAGAGTAGCCCAAATCTCCAGGAAAGCATTAAAGGCCCGAAACCTTAAATCCCTGCAGATTTCCGCTGTACCAATACACCATTTTCCAAATACCCTGATCCTTTCAACAGATAGAAGTCAACAGATAAAAGGTCCTAATTTCCAGATGCACAAGATGGCAAGGCGGCGCAAACATATTTGGAACTGTAATAGGCTATCAGACTGTATTGGTTTCATGAGCACTGGTAATGTTATTAGTCGAATAATGGTAAGCAGTGACAATGAACAGTGTATGGAATACAGTTCTGATGAGCCATACCTAGCTCCTTTTGTATGTTGTCAGGGATTCCTGTAATAGTCTTTCTCCTTTTGACTTTCTTCGGCCGTCTTACCACCGTGTCTGTGTAAATTAGAGACCGCCGAATGCTGGCTTGGCGGTCGAAATTCTCCCCTAATACATGGTGGAACAAGCAAAGCAACATTACTTCCAAGCACGCTGACATCATGCATTTTCTTCCACTAGTTTTGTTGTAGAAATGGAAAAAAAGGCATTAATAAATGATGTTAGCTTGGTCCTACAATGAAGGTTTACATTGAAGGAAGATAAAGCATATGGTCACAGTAAGGCTTTAGACACACACATCTATTACAAAGTACTGCAGGTTTTAAAAGCAATTTTGACTTCCTGAGCCCGGTACAGACCTGGTGAGAGCAGCTCTAATTCCACAAGTGAACAGAATCCTTGCTTTGTGGTTTTTGTGTGGTTTTGTTGTTTTATTTTAAAGAAATTAGGTGCAGAAAAAGCAAATCTGCTCATGAAAATTAAAGATCCCAATGATGACCAAATTGTACAGGAACAGACACTGCTATTGGCAATAGCTATTACAGTATCTTTGCACAGCTCCATCATTAAATCACACAAGACGCTTCTTTTTCATTCCAAGTTGTTCTGGATCTGTCAAGTGTACCACATTTCTGGTGGTGATCCTTTAATGTCAGTACAAATAAGTACTATAGAGCGTGCAGAGATCAAACTGATCTTGCAGTCTCATAAATATTTTGGAGTGGAAACTGCTTAAAACTGAAACTTTATAAATGATTATAACAATATACAATGGCAAGAGCTGAAAAAATGTGTAAGCGCACGTTGCCAGACAAAGCCTTATGATGACCATGTGCCGTATCATAATGGGACCCAGAAGCACCACTATCATTAACCAGCTTTTCTTTAGGAATTCACTTTTGTTTAGAGGCTTATAATTTGGCCATTTTACTAGTAGCAAGATATAACTTGCTCTATAGATTGTGAGCCAAGTTAATGTTCTGTCACTTCTAAAAATCTAACAACCTCTCCCCAAATATTTCATGTAAGTTCCCTTTTTAGAAGCTAAAGCATTTTAAAATACTGCTAAATGTCCCTCGGATGACCCATTTAAATGCAGAAAAAACCCTGACATATGTATATACTTTTTTGCCTTGTAAGCTTTTTTTGAAAATTGATGACCAAATTATTTACCTCTAAAAAGTGATTAATGCACAGTAACTAATATGTCATAAATGCTATCCCGGCTGACTGCACATCAGTATGATGTGTGTCATGCAAATAGTATAGAAAACCTCATTACCTCTGTAAGTTATAGTCATGTATTGAAGTATAGCATGTGGACTTGTGAAAATGCAAGGAAAAAACAAGGCAGTTTCATTCACCACATTGTAAATATAAAGACTCTGACTCTGTTTGACCAGAGCTTTGTACTCCTATGAGCTGCACTTGTGCTGAGCCGGGTCCTTGCATCTACAAAGTGCCAGTTTCATCCAAATTTGGGACTGACTGAAGTCAAGGCAGATCAAGGGAGGAGGAAGGCCACGGGGTCTATAAATTTAGATCTATGGATTCCACTAGCTTAGTAGAAGCCCTGTAATATTAAGACTCTTCGCTGTCTGGGGCATTACATTAGGACCCTTACAGGATCAGCACCATTAGGTAATCCTGCCATAAAGGATAATAGTAATTCTAGCTAAATGATAACAAATCTAAAGAATTTGAATGAGAAAGGGTTGCATTTCTGAACATATCTTTATCCATTCAAAGGCCAATAATTATGCCTGAGATGGTAAGTTGCAAGGAAATGAAAATGCAGCTTTGAATGCTCTGGAATAAAATGTAAACAGTAAGTAGAGGGTGCAAACAAGGACAGAGTCTTTTACATGAAGCCTCAGACAGCACGAACAGGATGACCATGAGAAAATTTTACTGTGTCAGTAACTTCTTCCCCTGAGCTACCCAAAAGCTAACTCAACTTCAATGGCTTTTCGTACACAAAAGGCTTTTTCGAAGCCACTGTGCTAATTTGTAGAATTTCAAAGTAGCAACTTCAATAAATTCCAATAGGACAAATCAGAACATCTCATTTTTTCCTTCTTTGCTATCATCTTTTTTTTTAAATGAAAATATCAGTGTTAATGTTAAATATAATTTGCAGATTTAAGGATACTTTTCTCCTTCTGTTGTTGGTTTGTAACAAGTCTGTAACAAATCTAGGCATTCCTTATGCAGTTCCCTTGGATTCACTGAAAATATTTAAGTATGTGCTTAAATCTCACTGGAGTCAGTCAAGCTGGACTCAAGCAAATGCTTAAATGTTTTGCAGGATCCAGCCTTGCACTGATCACCTCCACCATCACCAGCCTCCTCCATCTGGAAAGAAAGTTAGTTCCGGAAATCCCATGGCAGCAGACACCATCATACATCTTTTAATCCCCAGGTATGTAAAAGCAAAGACTGGCCACCACTGAAAATTCAGCCCAACCCTTTCCAGGCCAGAACAAGCTCAGCCCAGGCACTCCCAAAGACTGAAACTGCTTCCAAATCTGGGCGTCTAAGTCAGCAGCTTGTCAGCCTAATGCAATGCCCCTGCACCTTCAGGCTATCCAACAGATTTCTACTACTACTGTATTAGTTGCAATCTGTTCACCAAAGAGCCCTGAAAGCTGAACTTGTGGAGCATTTATTGCACAGCCACGTGAGATGTCATTGTAGCAGAAACATTACTAATGCACTGCTGAAAATGCTGTCAATTGCCAGCAGCCTCTTCAGAGGTTAACCTTCTATTTCATGCCAGGATTAACAAAATAGAAGTTTTTGACCTCCCTTCTTGGAGAATGAGAAAAAAAGTGAAGGAAAAAGCCAAATCAAAACAAAAACCGGCAATGGTTTGTTCCATGGCACGTTTTAAAAATGGCATAGAATTTTTGGACGTTTTATTTCTCTACCTCATGCAGTAACATAAGGAATTCACAAAATATAATTACTCGGTGTGTGGGAGGGCAGAGGAAGGGAGCAGATTGTGACTTTTTAAAGATGTACAAGGACAGCAGCTTTGTGTGTGTGTGTTGTGTATGGCTCATAGTCTGTTACTGTCACTTGCTTGCTTCATAGTAGCAGTATAACTATTCCAAGGAAAAGGAAATGGTGGATTCCAGAGATCAGTCCACACACTGCAACTGTAGTCTTCCTTCACCACCCTCCCCATCCCGGTTCCTTTCAATTACCATGTTTATAAGGGAATAGATGCTCAACAGAAGCTCCAGAAAGGTGAGGTGTGATACATACAATTTCTATTTTTATCAGAAATGTTGAGGACCACTGAGCTTGCCACGTGCAAACCAAACAATTCAGGGGACACCAGGTTTGCTACGTCAGTTGAATTAAGCTGGTTGAAGTCACAGGTGTAATTTATCCAAACACTGTAACGTTCCCAGTGACAGTGATTTAAATTTATGAGTTATTTATCTCTTTTATCTCATTTTTCTTTCCATCTGTTTACTTACCCCATATATTATCAGTATGTAGGGTCATTACATTGAACAGCAGATTACTCTTTCTGTTAGTATACCCTGTTCCTGCTGTCACAATACCTAGCACTGCTCAGGCTTATTGATTATGTCAGATTATCCATTGTTCCAATAACTTGACCTTCTGCGCTTGTATCCTACATTTCCTAGATAACACCAATTAGCCTAGTAACACTTCATTATGGCATTTATTTTCCTTCTATTAGTTTTCTAGAGATGGGGTGTTTGTAATTAGCTGTTGTCTTCATACTATTTCTTTCAAATATTTTCCGCTGTTTATTTAAGGAATGTTTCTTGTTTATTTCTCATCTCTCTCTGATGTTTGTAACAGAAGTCCTGCTCCTATGCTGTTTAAATACTATCAAACAGTACTAGTTAAAATACTAGTTTACAAAAACATAGGTGAAAAAATTATTGGCAGACACACAGGGGAAGAGAACACCTAATTAATTTTAAAACAAAACCAAACATTGCAAGCTACTGATTGTAAGACTGAGCTTGGAACCAGTGTACCATATGGCATTTGAAATAAATTGGATATTGAATATCATCCTGGTTTTGGCAGGCAAACGGTCAGTTATTTGAATTAACTAATAATAGACAATCTTGATAATGTGCAGAAAAAGAGGGATTATTAAACTGAAGTGGTAATTCTGTCTTTCCCAGAAATTCTATTTACACACAACAAAGTATCTATTCAGCATTAGGCTTTAACATAATTTAACTTCCACAGAGTGAGAGTTCTGAAACTGTAAAACCAAAGAACCTTTTCAAAATGAACAGTTAATACCCAATTTGTAACAAGAAAATGTGGACTGTGGTCACACTAATGCAGTATCTTACCAAGAGTCTTGCTCTAAGACACAGCTCCATTAACTTTTGTTGTTCTTATCCTACTTCCCTGAAATCTAAATCTCTTGTTGCTGAAATAAAAGTAAGACTCTAGAGATTGTTTTCTTGAATTCTGTACCACTTGGTATTTTGGAATACAGAAGTCCCTCATATATAACCATCCTTATATAAAATTCCTAAAAGAAAATCCTGAAATATCATTAGCATTGCATAAAACACAATTTCTCATTCAGTGTAGTCTACAGCAAACCATTGCTATTTATCAATCCCCCTCTTGTATTTCATGAATATCTAATGCTGTTTCAAGCCCATGTTGTGTAAACTGTGGTCATTAATGATAACTTTAATTACCCATACAGTTTGGAGGTAGGCTATTAAACATGCAACACTTTTGCGCACTGGTGCAACAAGTAACTTACAATTCCTGCATCAAATATATGTCAAAATGCTATGCAACTGCACGGATCCCATTTTATCCCTTCCCACCCTCATCAGTCTAACATAACCACTGAAATTAAAAGCCTACCAGTCACATTAATAGGAACCACGTCTGTTTGGACTGCCTGTGCTTGTTGTCGCATTTTCTCTTCTGGCGTTGGCAGCGGGAGTGACTTAGTCCAGTTGGTTTGGGTGTTGATATCTGATAAGTCATCTGAAACTGGAGTTTTAGGCCTTTTGATGGTAATAAGCTTTTCTTCTTCTGGGGAAGAGACGGGACACTACCAACAGAAATACATGCAACAATGTAAGTTTATAACCAGATAAAAAAAGGTAGGACTATGGTATTACTAAGGTATTGCCGCTGCAGTCAGCATGACTGCTTGTCAAATAAAATTCACTCTCATAAATATCACACTTTGACCTACATAAAGTGATTTAAAAAGCATACAACCACCCCACAACAAAACACCTGGAATGTTATTATCCAAGACATCGAACCAATCTAAGGAATGTGTATAAATGAGAGAGATAAGAGAGGTACTGAACATAGAAAAGAACGGTAACTGATTATCTTTCACACTAACATCGTCCCTGAAGAGATTAACCCCTCTCACTGTGTGGCGGTTTGGCTTCCCTTCACCTCTCCCTTCCCAGTGTCCTATTAGGAAGATGAGATTTGAGCGTTTCTTTGATCCAGCTGTACTAGGATGTTCAAGGTCTCAGCAAGAAGCCTGTTATGAACAGACAGATTTTGCATTAGCTCAGTAAAAGAACCAGCCAATGCACTCTACAAGATCACCAGTCTACAAAATCAGATCAGTAGGGCATCAAAGACAACTTTGCTTTGCCCTTTGGAGAAACTCGTGCCACAGTCAAGGGGTACATTCTGCCCATTTTTAGGGGTGAAGCAGTTATCAATACTAGTAGCCCTATAATGGTAATTTTAAAAGTAATTCCGTATCAAAGTGACAGATTTCACCTCCATGATGGGTGTTTCACTTAAACAAAAACAAAAACAAAACACCAATGAAACTAAAAGCTTTTTGGATCAGAAAAACAGGTTGGAACAGCTTGTGCAAACGCTTCCATCAGACAAAGTTATAAGCCAAAAAAGCCATTTGTTTTTGTTACAAGGTCTTTGCTCGCATGTCAGTAATGGCAGAAAATGCTGTATGATAGCTTTTATTGATAAGGCAGTACTAGCACATAGCAAACTCAAGGACAGGCAAGTTCAGGGCATGCAGAAGACATCACTGGGGCTTCTAGCAGGCGGTCAAAAGCTACAAGCAAACGCAGGAGAAGCTGCCTTCTCTCCTTGCTGCTCCTGGCAGCAAGGCACCCCACGGAATCTCAGAAGCAGGAGAGGAAGTAAAACCTGGAGGAAAACCAACCTCCACCTCCTCCCACCCCCAGGCAAAACAAATGAGAGCAGAAAAATATTGAAGAGGAGTTGTGTAGCAGCTACAGCACTAGCAGAGATCTCTGCAACCTCCAGATTCCTCTGTTTCAGGAGTGTTTCCTTCAGGACCTCCCCCTCTACCACCAGACCAGAGTTACAGTCCTCAACCCCTTTTTATTGCCCTCTCCCTTCAGAGAGCAGAATACTACTCAAAATAGGGCTGTCACTACTGGATCACTGGGTCTCCTGGTAGTTACTCCCTCACTGCTGTATCCAGGTGTGGAAAGAAACACCACAGCTATTTATTACAGATGGATTTTTACTATTGTGGGTTTGCAGTCTGAGTGATCTGTTTTCTCTTGAAGCTTAGTGCTATACAAAAGACATGCCCAGACACTGTGCTGCAACCACTGTTTATCGTTTCTATTTTCTTCCTGTTACCATGAGGTGTTCCCACTGTTTATAAATAAATAACCATTTATTTATTCTATTATACTTCAACTCTACATCCTTTAGGCCACTGCCCAACACTAAACTTACTAAAAAATAAAAATAAAAGCAAATTACAGGCAAAAAGTAAAATAACAGAAAAGTAACATCTCTTCAGGTCATACTAAAAAAACATTTCAGCAATGAAATTATTACTAATGCCATCCTGCAGAGTTTGGAACCACACTTTGAAATGTCGGAGCTTTTCTTTGAGGAAATAATCCATTTCTGTCAGGCCTGCGTTTCTTTACTAGGGAGGCTGCAGATGGGAGAGATGCGGTTTCCAGGAAAGGGCTCAACCCTGTGAAAGCCCCAGCAAATTCTTTCAAAACAAGCTTCTTGGAGGATACCAGTAATTTTTTTCAGGCCTACACTGTTTTTAAAAGGCTTTAAAACCATTCCTGTAAAATTATAATGTGAATGCTTTGAGTGTATGTATATACACTGTTTATACACATATACAGTGTGGGTACACATATGTATATGTACTTACACATAAGGACTTTTCCACCTCATATTCATAAAAACCTTCATTAACTTAAGCAAACTGGGAAAGAAATGCCCTTGGAGAAGGGAAAGCTGCCCCCAGGCCATGCTTCCCCCCAGTTAGGTTTAAAGACAGCTCAGATAAAGGGTTTGTAAGGAATGTAGCACAGGGGTACTAGCTCAGTGTCACTGGGAGCATTGTGTGTGTGCACTTAAAGGAGTAATCAGGGGCTGAGGCAAAGGAATATTGCTTTCCCTGTACAAAGAGCTTTTCTCTGTCTCAATCTGGTCACCAAGGGAGACACCTCAAGCCTGATTTTGCATTCTGTGTGAGGTGAAGATGAGCTCCAGTGACCTTCAGATACTCTGCTTGGTTGATACTGTCAGCATCAATATCTGTCACATTCAAACTACACTGCAAGTGCCAGGCCTCAGCTGTCATGTAGCAGTACCAGGGGCTACTCCAATATGTCAAGTGGCAGCAATACCGGCTGCAAAGCCACCATTCCTTTTAAAGGAAATCACTCAAACCAAGCAGGACACTTTTTCAGTTACAGTATATGAACACATAGAAAACCTGAAGAACTGAAGCATCTACTACAAGGGAATCCTAATTATAAAAAAAAAAAATAATAAAATATGAACGACAATCACATATTTTGCAGAGTTAGAAGTTGAGAAAACTGGGGACAGATGGAGGAAGATGGCCAGAAATGAATCAGCCCAGTGAGCATGTAACACATGAAAAGCAACTGAAAACTCAATTGTGCAGTTGAGCTCAAAGCACTGTGTCAGTAAGAATGATTTTCTGCCACAGGACAGTGGAGTGTACTTCTACAAAATAATTCAGTAAAAGAGTTGCGGGCAGTTTTGAGAGTACAAATAAATGTTCCCTGTCATGTTTCACCTGCAGGTACACTTTCTACACTTCCCTAAGAAGCATGACTCTACTTACATTTTTTCTTCCAAAGTACTCACAGTGATAGTGGTATAGGGTTTTTTTTGATGGGACGATACTTTTAACAGGCATGAGAAAGCCATACACAGCTTTACTGCACATAAAGGAAAACAGCAGCTCATCTTTCAGCTTGTTCGCAGAGAAATTATTTACCTCTATAATCAGGATGAAAACAGGGAATTACTTACTTTCAGCAAATATTCCCAGATTTACAACACAAAAGTCTGCCAGAAGATGCAGTGAATTGCTGCTGTGTAACAGGAACGTCTTATCAAGTAAGGTCTGCTTATCAGAAATAGAACTGGACTAGGCAGTACTTTGAGATTATGTATCTGCTTAGCAAAGCTGATAATAAAACACTATGCTCAGACTAGAAAGCACTTTTCCCATTTTTAAGCGTTTCTGATTCATAACAACTTTATTGCTAGACATAAATGGCCAAATTCCTGTGCAATAGGATGCTACATTCATCTCCTCAGGAAATTTTGTTGGAATTCATTCTTTTTAATGGACATTGGAAGAGAGAGAAGTGGAATATAAAAGCAGCAGCCTTGGACCTTACAGTGTTTCCATAAACTGGCATTAGAGGGCAAGGGGCATGAACTTTCAAATGGGAACTGAAATGAGAACCTAGGAGAAAAATGGCCTATAAATACCATAACAGACAAGCTATATGGCTCAGTAAGCCAGAGCCTCTCCAATACATTGTTGACATATTGTCCCCCAGCCTACTCAGCTGCTGAGATACAACAAAAGGGTTTGACTATCTTAGCACATTCATGCTATTTGAGGTCTCAGGTGATAAGTGACTATATGCTGCATATCTTGCAGCACGTTCTGACTAAATATCCTGTTTATTCTTCATCTTTTTATATTCCAGGGGTTTATACTACACTGAAAAAAGATGGGAACTCCAGGAGGAAAATTCAATTCATAAAAATTTTACCTTTCAGCAAAGGAACTTCAAACTTCTAGTCTCATCTCTGACCTCAGTGTACCACAATCACTTCTAAAATTGTATTTCTCATAAAAACAAAATTGAGAATTTAAATCAGTGTTACAGACAGGCCATACCAATTCAGGTGTCTTATTACCATTTGCCAACATCCTATTTCTTCTCCAGCCTTACTAGGTTTGATGGCCTCAAGTGCCTTTTTACTCAGCACAAAGGGATCAAGACAAACAGTAACAGGGGAAAAACAAAACAAAACAGAACAAAAAGCCCAAACAAACAAAAAAAAACAAACAACCCAAACCCACAACCAAGCCCCAAACCCTTATATTCCTTTTCCTTGGTCAATTAAGAACATCACTTTATCTGCCTGCTTCAACACACAGCATTTCACATTGTGTTATGGAACACTACCACAGTATAAATTTACATGAATTTACACGTAAGTTGAACTGGTCATTATTAGGGACCATTTGGTATCCTCTGGACAAAGGTCCCCAGTCTGGTTCCCCCAGTTTTCACAGAATATTCCCTTTTATTACTCTTACACACAGATCTTCAGTTGCACTAGCCCACTTTGCTATCCTACTAAATCCTTCACTTCATAACCTTCACTGTCTCAGTAAGGAAGGGATTCTACTTCTTTCTTTTTTTTGTCAGCAGAAACTACTGGCCATCAAGCAAGTTACTGCCTTAACCAGCACTTCAGAAATGGCCCTTTCTTCTTCCTAACTGTGCTGTAATGGGATTAAAAACATAAGAGCTGTACTGCATCAGTTCAGATCTCTAAAAGGCTACCTAGTATATCTGCCTTACAATAATGGTCAATGATACACAGGTGAAATTAAATTAGAGGATGCTTACAGTGGATACCTTTCCCTGAATGTTCTCTTAGCACTGGATGTAGTCCTATACCTCACAAGGATTTACCCAGTTGCTTTCTGAACCCATGTAAACTTTCATCATCCACAATTTCTGTAGCAGCTGCACCATATCAGTATGCTGTGAGTGAAAAATTCCTCTCTTTTGTTCGTTCAAAGAGTTTCTGTACTCACTTCCTCATGCTTTGTCATTTTGGGATTTGAGTTGCTGTTTCAACTGAATTGAGCAGTTCTGCTACAGCCCATGCCTCAGGGCTCTCAGGTGTTCCCATCTCTGAACTGGAGTGGCCCAACTGCTTTAGGCCCTCTTAACACCACACAAAGTTTTACATTAAGCCTCCTCAAGTCCCTCAAGACAATACAGTTAATACATCTGTTTGCACTTAAGATACTTAACAGTCTCTTGAAGACACTGAAGAGCCAACTAACAGTTTGGCTCAGTACAGGAGCAAAAATATACTTTTTTCCGTATGAATAAGCAAAATAGACGTTTTTTCACCCAAAGATTAACAACTGTATCAAGGCAAAGTTCATAAGCCAAATGACAGGACCTAGGGAAAAACAGCATGAGTTTTTGGCATACAAATATTTTCAAAGATGGAATAAAGACATGATATACTACAAGCCTGGGAGCAAGTACTCTCTCTCTAGCTCACATTAATCATTTAAGAAAAATACATTACTCCAAATTAGTAAGTTTTTCCTTAGCTAATTAAAAACCAATGAAGCAGCCAATTAAATAAAACAGTGTTCTTTGGGAGAAAGGTTTCAAAGGAGGCAAATGTTAATAGACAAAAAGGAACTACAAATTTCATGGAACCAAGTAAATAGAGGACACCGGACTGAAGACAAAAAGGAGTAATGAGGAATAACAAAGGAAACAAACCTGGCATGGCATTCCTCTGTTGAGCAGCTGATATTTCAAATTATTATGTTTTTCAAGCAGAAAACAGAAGCAGGCAATGAGTGAAGGCTAAGAGCAGAATAAGACTGCATATATGCTAAATGCTACAAGTAACATCAAGCTGCAGATATGGCAGCTGGATGATCCCACTCTTGGGCAAGGTACCTTGTTGCTCCAGGGAACCAAGTTACAGCAGGCGCTAATGCAAGACTGAGAGATGCAGTCTAACAGACTAGACTGTTGAGCGAGACAAAAAGAAACAAAGAGAATGAGTGATAAAAAGGGAAAGAAAAAAGAATGAGAAGAAAACACCCAAAACAGAAATACATTTAATATACACAGTTTATGCGTTTCAGAACATAAGGTGAACCAGAGTTTGAAAGCAACATCTCAGTGCATCTTTGACACGGAACACAAAGCAATATTGAAATGCAGGAATAGCTTCCAAGTCACATCATTATCAGTGGTATGTAAAAAGCCAGGAAAGGAGGACACTGGTCACAGCAGTCACATGTAAAATCTAGATAAACCAATTTAATCTCCAACAAACTCAATTAGGATCAGAACTGCAGTGGAGATTGGCCTGTGCTTCATTAATGTAACTTGTCAGAATCGACGTTAAAAGCGGAGTTCCAAGAACTTCCTTTTATATCAACTGCTACTCAGAGGCTTCAGCTTTCTGTGCTTCCCAATTTTGTTTGCTCATTTTTGAGTGGGATTAACTTGCCTGCTTCTTCCCAGTGGTTCTCCTTTGGAATAGCAAATGTTCTGCTTATCTCAGACATTTTCTAAGACTCACACTAAATCACATGCTGCTCTGTGATATGAATATTACCCTCTGCTGACAAGACACCCACCTACACAAAATCTGAGAATGTTTGTGGATTGGGGTCTCCTATCACATCACCTGGTCATGGTTTTATATTGTCTCCAGACAAGTGGAGTATCTGCCTACATTAAAAGAAAATACAGATTAAAAAGAGTAGGAGAAGATGGTTTCCTATCTGAACTCACCATGCAGCAAAACACTGTTTCTTCTGCAAGTTGGCAATTATGTCAACTTAGAAGTAAATTTCTAAACAGTAAATAGCTATTCATCCACCCATCATTATTCTGCTGGTCTTGAATTTCAACTATTAAGTGCTGCATGTTCAGAATTTAAATGTTCGCTTTTTTGCCTTGAATAGACAACAAAGCTACAAAGCTTTCATCTAATGGCAAAGGGTTCACATTCTAAATCATGGGATTTTGGTGACCCCAGTTCCACACTGTTACTGAAGAACTCCTCTGACAGCTGAAATACTCACTCAAAGAATAAGACTTATTAGAATTACTTGGCAATTTACCAGTGGGATTATAATTCAAGCTCAGAGATCTCTTGTGGTAAGCATTCATTTAAAAAAAAAAAAAAAAAGAGTAAAATTTTAGGCCATTACAAAAAAAGCCAGTTAAACAAAGATATTGGTCAATGGACTCCACAAAACACTGAGTTATACAATATGAAGGCAGAATCACGCTACAGTTTAGAAGGAATTAATGTCATTTTGAGCTGCAAATAAGAGCAGCAGGGTTAAGGTTAAAGTTCTGAGATAACCAGTAACATCCAAGACTGTCAGTTTGGCAACTATCTTTCTCCACAGCTGTGAATTATCCTTTCAGCTAAAAATATTTGAAGGGAACTACTGCAATTTGAAATGGAATTTCTATTCTATTATTCAATTATACTTAGTTCACCATTTTCTTTTCCCAGAATGCACCGAAGTTGTTACTAACGTGTTATTTTAACATTACAATAAACCCTTAACCAGGATAAGGGTGACAGCTCTTAGTCTGTTGAAGCTTCACCCATGTTTATATGCTCTTACTCAAACTGTTGAATAAAAGTGTATTTATACATTTTTAAATGTTGTATTAGTTTTACATGCTGCACAGCACTGGCTGAGTCCAGTTGATAGCACTGATGTATGCATATATTAATAGCCACAACCAATAGGTCAAAACTTTCTCCAGTGGAAATTTCACTGATTTAAGCAAGGTTTTGCAAATTGTTATAATGCATTCCACAGTATGAACATGTTTTACATTCTCTTGTAACTTCCAGTACATACCACACACAGCTAAACAAGATGCTCTAACATTCCCTGCCAATACATAGATATAATGCCCTCACCACATGGATGACAGACTGTACATATTCCACACCTTTTATTATGTGACTTAAAACCATGGAGGACAGAACTGAAAACACCTTAAAGTGAGTTCTTAGGATCTGCACACTTTCTATGCAGGCAGTTATTTGGTTCATGATATAGACACACATATGGTTTACTAATGATTTAAAGAAATTCAACTGTGTTACAATCAAGGATAACCTCCCACTCTCTAAGCAACAGTAGTCTGTGGCAAAGCATTCTAGAATATCTATCTAGAAAATCCCAGGAGCTCACGCATTTCAGCTTTGGACAGACAGGCTCCAGTTCACCTTGCTGTCACCCCAGCAGTAATGTTCTAGCCCACAACACCAAAGTCAGTTTCTCTTTCCAAGCCACAGGCACAAGAGGGTAAGGTAAGGACAGGGGAGCAAAATTTCTTTTCTTCTTTCTTCATTAATGCAATTTACTAGTTCTGCAGTTACATAAGGACCTATGTATATAACAATGTGTCCTCACAACTTCTTTGGGACTTGTGCTGAGCTGTCCTTTCTCTATTTTTTTTATTTCTAGATTTTAGGCTAAGCATACTTGGAGTTAAGATGTGTGCATACAAACATGAAAACCATGAGGAAAACTGAAAGAAAGCTTATAAACCCAACTTAGTGGGCAATTTTTTATTCTTCTGGATGTCTTCACATGAGAAGTTGCAATGCATTAGGACAAAGCCTCTACATAATGAAACTGCATTAGAGCCTATATTAGCAATTCAACGTGTGCACATGTCCCTTGTTACAATGTGAGTATGCTAATGGCTGGTTAATAGCTCCTCCTGCTACCTGAATGTAAACACTTAACAGATTCAAAACAGCTGCCCTTGCTGGGGTCTTCCCTCCAGAACATTATCAACTCCTTCTGGCTTTCACTCCCTGAATATGACAGCAGGAACTTTATATAAATGCATGGGTAGAAATGTGATCTTTAAAAGACTATGTAAGTCAGATAAGCTAGTATCACTGTAATTCAAAGGAGTAAGAATCTTCAGGATCTTCTAAAATCCTGCCTTATTTGAATAGTGTTATGGCATGCAATTAAACTGCACCGGGCATGTTATACTTTCCATCACTTTGCCCCTGCCATTACCTTTTGTTCAATTTCTTCATAATCATCCTGGTAACTTCCACAGATTGCACTGGAGGATGAGGAGAAGGTGGGGCCCTGAGAGTAATACTGTGAGCTCCGGTAGCCATCCCGACGCAACTTATCACACTCTGCAGAAAGAGAAAGAGGAGACTTATTCATTACAAGAGTCATTACTGTTTACACTTGGTGTACAATGGCACATACAAAAGTACAGGATATTATTCTAAAAAATTCTGAAAACGTTTGCCATGCATTAGCATTGTCTGTCCCAAGTAACAGAACCCAAAGGTGCATTTCTCCTATTTGTATCTATATTCCCTCTCCCTCACCTATATTATATACAGAAGCCCACACATAACATATATACCCATGACTTTTTTTAACCCAGGAGATGGCAAGAGCTTTGGAAAGAATGGGGAAATGGATTTATGTACTTATTTGAAGCCTGGCTCAGTGTCTTGACAGATGGCAGCATCTTGCAGGATGAGAGACGGAAGCATATGAGTAACACCAGGGGTCTCATTTGCCAGGCCAGTAGACATCCATTATGCGCCTTACACTTTAAACGATGATGTTGCTCACTACTAGAGCACCATCTGCTAAGTAACTTTGGCACTGACCACTTGTCTTCCTGCCCGCGGAAGAGACCATTTATTGGGATTCTGGAGAGAGGAATGCATATCACGAGGATATCAAAATCTCATGTTTCTGCAGAGCACATGTAGTTTAGTACTGAAGAGTTTTCAAAGTTCAAAAAGATCATGAAGCAAACATGCATCCCCACTCAAAGCAGTCAAAATCCCAGTCAGCATGTCATCCCCCTCACCCAAGTTTTCCATAATCATCTTCCCGCCTCTTAATTGATATTCAGTGTGACTGTGCTAAAGAATAACAGACGCCAGAGCATAAGGAAAAATTAAATGTTCAAGATGCAGCAACCAAACTCATCAGGCCAGTCAAACTGTTAGCTTTACAATTCCAGAGACAGAGATCTGAATCTCTTGAAAGACAAGGAAAGCAAAAAGAAAATTAAGTATTTGGTACATTTCTAAGGAACTGAAATATCTGCACAATATATGGGCATTATCAAATTACAAAGCGCTTTTATCATCACATGCTGAAGACGGACTTTCTGTGATAGTAGTATGTGTCTCCCTATCTTGATTTTTTGAATATCCCTTACAATGGAAAACATGCAATGTTTGTATTGAGGGCAAGGTTTTAGAGAGGCTTTTGCCTGGCAAATGATTAACTGGAGTTACAATTCGCAACTCCAGCATATATTTCATCTGTTATGCTCAGAAGATCTCAGATTGAAGCCTGGAAGACTTGGTGCCAATGAGTTAACTGACCTAGAGAAATCACAGCTCTACAAGGATTTAATCAGCGCAGACTCCCCCTGTATCTGCACATGCACACTGACACAGCACGCTTACAGTTTGACAACTAGCCATTTCCACCAGAGCCAGATGTATGTCCTGGCCTATTACGAGTTTCCCTATGGAGTCAAAAAGGACAGTGTGGCATGAACCTGTCACTTATCTCTCAATTCAAGGACCAGTGTCAGTGGTGGTGGAATTTGAGATCCAGAGCAATTAGTACATCTCAGGAACAGAGGGTTGGTGACCCTGTTTACCTGTTTCACAAAGGTGAGCATGCCAACACTGCATGCATCTGGCAGACAGCTGCTGTACTTCAGGTGGGGTGTGAAAAATGACTGCCAGCAACTGCAGTAAAACAAATTTCTCCACCGCCCTTCCAAATCTGGCACTGGATCCAGCCAGATCCAACACACAACACTCACAAATGTGAGTGCCCCGATGGGCTGTCTGTTGGTTTGAGCTACAAATCACCAGGCATAAGTGAGCTGTGCAGAACAAGCCCAAAGGCTTGCTTCAACTTGTAGTGTGGGTTAACATGGTAAGTTGTCAACTTAGACATTGCAAGTTTTACCTTCAGACCAGCCACTAATCACCACAAACAAACATGAATACAACCTAAGTTAAGAATGCAACTCTTGTGACTTTTTAACATCGGGCATCATGGCATTTCCCAAGGGTGAAGGCCTCCTTCTGGAGTATGACAGATGCATGCTCTGATATTAAAATTGCGTGATCTTATTTATTCTGCTAACCAAGGAGATGAAGATGACGAACAGTGCAGTTCATGAAGCCCAGAAGAGCTCCAGAAACTTAAGGAAGTCAACACTGAAGGTCTCAAGTCCACCAAAAGTTCAAATGGATCAACAACAAAAAACTGGCTGTTTATCAACCTCACAACCTCTATTTGTCAAAAACGCAAGATCCATGCAACATAAGAAGCTATTGCAGCATTACTGATGAAGAAACCAAAAGAATAGCTACAAAACACCAGGGGAACACCACCAACAAAAAGGTGATTTGTCCCCAAGAACAGACTTTTCTATGTACTGTCACAGTACATTCTGCAGCATAGCACTGGGGATGTGACCAAAGGCCAACAAACCTCAGTAGAGGTTTCAGGCAGGTATCTTTTGCTTCACCTTGCAAGAGCCCAAAAGCACAACACAAGCTCAGTCACTGCATCTAACAGAAGCTCCTGTCACTGCCAGACCAAGTGTGTCAACTTATGTTTAAACACTGTTTTAGCTGGAGGTAGGCCCTCATTTTGTCACTATTATTGAAGGTGCATATGGTCTTCTGTAAGCAATCAGGTTTGTATTTTTCAGATAAAATACCAATAAAGAAGCTAGAAATACTTACTGTAGAATCCAGACATGTTCCCTCTTACCCAGAGAAGCAAAACTTTGTCCTATTTCCACAACCCCCAAAAGAGAGAAGCATTATATACTCAGTTGAATTTAAAAGTTCTTGAAGTTATGCCTGTTGTTTCAGAGAGGTCTGTACTGAAACTAACTAGTTAACAGAAGAATACAGTTATTAAAAATCCTCAGTTTTAAGAGTGGGACAATACATTAGTGATAGCTGAGGCAGGACAGATACAATCTTGGCTAGACCCAGTGGCAGAGCTGCCATTACCCACAGTATCCAATATGCATAACTATACACGGCTTCTGTGTATATACATATTTCTGCCAAAGAACTGCCATGTTGAACCCCATGAGACTGCACCAGGCAGGACACAAACACCCGCTCCTGAGGATGGGCTCACCAGTTCAAATTTGCAGCACATACTGTAGTCAAGCTCAAAGTCATAATCTTGCATGATGTGAAATCTGCGACAACATTATTGTGCCCCAGATGAACCAGTTTTGTTTACACAAACACTGACTATTTGCCCGAGAGGACAAAAAGAGCCACTGCCGTAGCAATTGTGATCAGTGGCTGCACTGGACATTTCCACAGCGTGAAGGCTGGAACTACCTCCCTTTTCTCCTTCCACCACGCTGGGGCTGAGGGCACAAGGATGCTGCCCGTCATCTGCTGCTGCCTGCAAGTGCTTTTCTGGCTAGGTAAAATTATAGCTTAATTCTTGTCCTTCTCCTTCTCTTCTAGTGATACCTTAAATTTCAAACCCTTCTCTGTATTATAAGCATTGCTTAAAAATTACTGTAGCAAATTATATTATAATTTATCCCTACTTATGTGGTACAAGTTACACCATTCCTAGAGAAGAAAATTTTGCATGAAGTTGAGTTTTGCTCTTCACACTTAGAGTGTGAAGGAAGTGCATGGGAAAAGTGGTCAAGAACATTTTAAAAGCCCCCTCATCATTTCCAGTTATTAGAACAGAGTAGATATGATGTTCAGCAGATGAACGATGAAAGAAAACGTGTTAAAGCTGTCAGTGCCATTATATCTGAGTCACTGTCATATATACAACCACTCGTACATCTGCTCGGGACTGCAGTACCGCAGGGTTTGTTAAATCCTGGCATCAGACGGAAGTGTGCTGGGGATGTGCTTCTCATCAACAGCAGGTGAGCGCATCACCCCTCTGCTCTCTTCCCATCTGCTAAATAACCGAGGGAATGGACAGCTATCAGCAGCACCACACCGAGAGCAAGGTTCTCAGCTGAGCCAAGGGTGATTCTGCACCATAGTTTTGAGCCACAGGAACTGAATTCTGTGCTGTTTTGAATAACTTGATCTCTCCAGGTTAAAAATTTATGGCTTCCATGACAGGCAGCCAGGCAAAGTATATGAAAATACCTCAAAGGCCTCTCAGCCCCAGTCTCCTCTCCCATTTTATACAAGGAACCTGTGTGTAATTGCATCTAACCCTGAGCTGGTAACACAGAGTAGTATATCTTGGTCTTGCATGCAGAGGTGATTTACTGCTTTTCCAGCAACTTGAAATCGTATTCTTACATGACCATTTGAGCTATAAATGGAGTGAGCAGAAGGCACAGCACTGATACCTCGGTAACTCGTCTGACACGGTATTACCGTAGGAAACCAGGATTAATGTTTCCCTTGTCTTCTTAGTCAGACTTACACACCACAGTGCTGTGCGGCAGAAGGACAGCTGAGTTTGCTGGGGGGGACGACTGTGTGTGTTGACTTTTCTTTAACCAGCTTTCGTATCAGCTGAGCTCCCTACCACCAAAACCAGTCACAGTTTCTTGAAGTTTATATAAAGTAAAATGCATTGCCCTGACAGCAGCAGAACTGGTAAGAGGGAGACAGATGCATGGTCATTTTCAGAAGTTTTCCATATTTATTATTTTAATCGTAAATGAACTGTGCAAGACTAGGTATCATTTCTCACAAGCTGCTTCATAAAACTATTCCTTTTCTTGCCCCATATTGACCTGGCTGCAGGAAGGAAGGCTCCAGGTGCTGGTTTTCAGGGCTGGACCCCATCTTTGCCTGGGATATCTCCCCACAGTGCAGCCCCCCAGTGCAGAGGCACAGATTTCTGCCACCTCCCTGGACTGGTCAGTCCTCCACACCTCAGGCCTGAGCGTGCAGCCATCACTCACTTAATTAGCCCTAATGAGATTATTCCTGTAAGTAAACACCGCTCATGCGACTGGTGCAGGATCAGCTCTGTAGCCGCCTTGCATCCACATGTACACGCTCAGACATGCTCATGAGCATACATTAAAGAGTTTAATATATATATATTAAAAACCCACATTTTTTCTGTGTTTCTAAATATTTATTAGTAATCAGTGAAGACACTG